CAGTTACTGGGGATTTTTTTTTTTAGAGTGGATTATTCCAGTATAACAACATCTCTAATATAAAACATGATAATTCTAGCATCAAGGCTTGGGACTCTATGAGAGGCAGCTCAAATACTCAGGGTTTCAGAGTTGGTTTAAAAGATCACAAATCCATAATTACTACTTGTAAATTTGAAATTAAAAATAAAGAAATTAATAGTTTGGATAGAAACACTTTTTCTGAAGAACCCTGAAACGGCTCTTGCAAAATTTCTTTACATATTTATCTTTATTATAATAATTACAGGCTCATACATTTTAATCTGAAAAAACTAATTAAGGGGTGGATGGACAGATGGCAGGAATACATTCCTCAGAGACAAACTGCTGCACCTTAAATGCACCAGGTGGCGTTATCACAGATCCTTCCTCCCAATAGCTCTAAGACTTGATAATCATCACTGTTCCCAACAACCTCAATAAGTTTTTACATTCATGCTAATTTTTTGCACAGTTTCTGTCTTAGTCAGTTAACCCCTTAAAGCCCAGATGGTTTAAGGAGCAAATTCCACCTGAAGTTACATATGTGAATTAAAGCAAGTACAGCTCCCAAACTATAAATTGGAAATACAATTCTTTGCAATTGTATGACAGAAAGGCCTTAAGGAATTTTTTTCCAGTTGGAACCACTATTGTAAATATCACCATGCCTGATTTATAGCTGATTACACAAATAAAAATGTTAAAAATATTTAGCCTAACCAAAAAAAAAAAAAAAAAAATTCAAAACAAACACTGCAAACCACCATGAAAACTCATTTAAATCATTGGATCAACCTTCAGACTTTATAGATCCACATCTTGACTTTAACTCGAGCAAATCTGGACTAAATAAGCTGAGGCATGTTTCTTCCTTAAAGGTTTGGTTAGCAGTGTTGTAAGCGGAAATGTAATTTTGGTACAGTGGTGCCAAACTGGCCAAATTATGCCAAATGCATTTTTCCACTCATAGAGGGGAATCTGGCCAGACAAATATGCCAAATTACATTATTGAAGGCCTTCTGCATAAGACAAAGCCTATTTAGCATTTTTTTCATTGAAATTTACCAAAAAACACACAATAATATCACCAAACTATACTAGTAGTTTTCACGCACAGAGCAAGCTTATGTAACACATGCTAGTTACATCACCTGAAATGGTCTCATAGTTACCTGCGACCGCTCTTTGGAAAGGTCTGAGCCTCTAGTTTCCAATGATGCTGGCCATTAAGGGGTGGGGCTAAAAATTAATACGTACTGTTACATTAATCAGGCAGAGTACGAGATGTCAGATGGAATTTTAAATCTCTTTTTATTTGTTTACACAGCTATAAAACAAAAAGTTTAAAAAAAAAAATAATAATAATTCCGAAACATGTTTTAGAAATTTTAAAGCCTCATTTTGAAAGGCGTGTGGATGAAACACCATGTGACTGTGTTTGGTCCATTTCTATAAAAAGATTAACATAAGCAGGAATCGGACCCGCCAGGCTCAAGAGGTTAAATAACATGCTGCTTTATTTTTTGCACATTGGTTTTGCTGCTATTTTTCACATATCCATTACAATAAAAAAAAAATTTCTGTTATTTTTATACACTTTTGTTAAGGTCCACATTTGTGTAACCACTTGGGCTATAATCTTTTGCTGCTACTGTAACAGTTTCCCCGTTGTAATTAAAATACAAAGTCTATGTAGTCAGCTGGTTAAATTATCAGGATGTTGCAGGTTTTAGCTCATATTTACTTGAACTAAACACAACCATTTGGTATTTTTTTAACAAAAAAACCCTGACAGATGATTTCACAGAATTGTTTCTGTGCAGCATCACCTTAAAAATCTCATCTTCACTGCCTAATAAAGTGTACCAGAAATCTGTGCACTGCTCCATTTTCACACGCTCCCCTCTGGAGCGAGCTGGTGTGCAGTCAAAAATGCACGCTTTAAACTAATTCTGTCCCGCCTTGGGAGACGCCCAAAATATGCTTTTTTTGTTTTAAAGCCAACCTCAGCCGATTATGCATGAGAAGAAATCACTCATGTCTCACAGAGGGCCGGCACCCTGGCAGGTAGTGCACTGCTCTTGATCCGCCAGTCTCCTGGGATTTATTTATTTTTAATAGAGCGATGACTGAATACAGAAATATATCAACCTTTAATTTAATTTTACGTTTTAGAAGAATAATTCCTGTAATCAAACAGAATTGAAGCATTACTCTGGTCACACAGTAACAAGCAACAAAACAATACAGTGGCAGCTATTTATAAGCTCTTGATCTGATGCAAAATCCTTCTGGCTCAGAAAGGACGTATGACACATTATGCCTGGCAGCAAAATGTCCTCCACAAATAAGAAGCTGGGCTGATTCTTCTCATGAATTTTACAGTGCAAACAGAGGAGAATTATATGAGAAAAGACCCAAAGAATCTGCTGGAATATTTTGCCTGAACAAAATGCTATCTATTCCTGTTTCTATATGTTGGAATGGGAAAATAATGTTTACAATAAATAATGTACATTAACTGCTGTGGAGCATTGTAATCTAAAGTCTGCTCCGTAAAGTCAGAGGGGAAGAGGCGAGCAGGTATTTGCACCATGAGTATTTCACCGACCTGCTTCGCTTTGGCTGAAGACGGCCATGGTCTGCGCGCCCACTGTGTGCATCGTGAAGGGATATTCCCTCGGTATCTGCAGGGACTCATCCTTCTCCCCTGCTGCAGTCATGGAGGCCAGCTCTTCGTTAAGACTGAAACATACCTGAGAAGGACCAAAAAAATAAAATAAAAAAACAAAACAAACAGCTCAGTCAATACACAACTGACAAGTCGTATTATCGGCTGTCTTCCTGCTTAATCAGGTCAGACATGATGCGATGAAACTTTATTGATTCCTGTGAGGAAGTTGAGTCATGAAAGAGAAAACAGAGATGGGGTGCAACATAGTGAAGAGAGGATATCAGCAGAAAACCAAAATAACAGAGCTCCACACTGAGCCGTGCAAAAGCATTCACCCCCGTGGAACCTTACACCTGGTCACATTGCATCCACAAACTTCAGTGTGTTTTATTTGATTTGATTTGCCTTCAGAAGCAGGTTTATGAGGAGATCACATTGGGAATAAATCCGGCTTTTCCGTGAAGGCATCAGAGGTTGGTCAGAAATGTTGGTGAATACTCAGAACTATAACGTCAAACAGGTTGAAGTTATAAATTAATATTTGAGGCTTGGAACATCTCACAGAGCTCTGTTCCATTCAGCATCATGAAGCAGAAAGTGTATCACTAAACAACGGAGATATGCAAGTTCATCCAATCAGGTAAAAACAAATGTAAAAAAAACTGTCAACAGGAAAACTCTTAGTTGTTCTGATCACACAATATTAGTAGGAGAAGTTTCAGTAAAACAGCAATCCAAAAGATAGAGCCAGGGCTGCATGTACATCACTAAAAATGTCCTAGTCAAAGCCTGGATCGAAATCCGAGTGAATAGATTTGTATAAAAATGTTAATAGAAGCTCTCTATCCAGTCTGCCTGTGCTTAATCTATTTATCAAAAACGTGCAAAGCTGGTCGGTCTACACCCTAAAGACTTCTAGATGTCATGGGAATCTTCACATAAGTGAGGTGGAGAGATTGGAGACAGTTAATTGTTAATTTAACCAACAAGCATTTAGCTAGACTGATGATAATCCAACAGCACATGCTTAGTTACCCCCTCCTTTACCAACAACACAGCAGATACATACCATAATTCCTTAATTGAGAACTGAATGGATATATAGATATAAAAAGTTATATTTCTAATGATTGCTTTTTATGTGATTGCACCACACCGTCTGTATGAACAACCTAACAGTTTTGTAATTTAAATCATCAGTTAATCTGCTTTTAACAGGCATAGACATCATAGTGCAAAAATATCATTTTATGGAAGCATTGCTAGTTTAATGATGGAATGAGGGTGAAGGATCATTGCAATGCACAGCTGTAACTGTCTCCTTATTGATCATATTCATCTCCAAAGGCTTTATCCAAGTTGCAGAATATCCTACATTTTCTGTTTTGTTTCCTAGAATTCTACAAGACAAGAAAAGGAGAAATAGTCAAGTAAAATATTTAAATAAGCCAATAGGTTAAAAAAATGTGATGAAAAATGAGTTTTATGTGTCAATAAATTGCTGTAGCAACTGTCCCCATGAATATGGACAATCTCAATTCAACCACGTTACTTGCTTTATATCAGGATCCCAAATTATGCACCTAATGGGCTTGTAGAGCAACAACGTGAGTTAACTATGGTAAAATATGGTCATTCACAAAAAGCCCGGTGAGAAATTGAGGGAAAAGTGAAAACTGTTGCAGCTGTCCCCACTCTCCCCTTCTTTTTTGAGTTTTTCTCCATACTTCATACATGCGCTACATTTTGTTGGTCTTTTACAAAAAGATTTATTGAAGTTTGTGGCTGTAATGTAGCTGGGAGCCAAAGACAGCAGTTCAAAAACATGTTCTGATGGTAGAAAGAAATATGACAATTTTTTAAAAAGTCTCACCTCCGTTTTACCCTGTTTTCTGTTAAAGGAGAAAAAGGATGTGGATCAATGATTCTAGAATAAATTAACATGTCTGCCTTGTTCAGCAGCAGTTTGAGACAAATTAAAGGAAAACACTGAAATATTGCAATGATTGATCATCTAAATGTCTGCAGGTTTAACAGATAACGAGAAAGTAAACGTTTTTTGATACATACTTTTCTATTGAGATCTTCCCAACTTCTCCCTTTTCTGTAGCTTTGTCCCATTGCTGAGATAAATACTTTGGAACCTAATTAAAAAAAAACATATGTGAAAATATATTACAGTTAGTTAATTGATTTACAAATTAAGGACAATTAATCAAAAATATTTATTTAAAATTCTTAAAATCATGAATAAACACTGAAAGGGATTTTCCTTTAAGCCTTTGTGCAACAATCAGAAAAGAAACACGCATTTTTCAGCACTTCTTTGGACCTTATGTTTACTAATATTTATCCTGCATGTGTTTAAACAAACCTTAACCAGCCACACGCCTTTACTCTGCTGGACTCCTGTTAAATTCACCTCCTTTTTGTCAGACATTGCTGTTTGTTTGATTTGCAAAGCAGCGACCTGGAAACCAGAACCAAAAGCTTCCTGCCTTTCAAATTAAAAACATTTGCTGCTAATTAGCTAAAATAGATTTAAGTGTTTGCAGTCTTAGATCACGTTCATCTCTAAAAGCAACGACAAAAAAGATGAAATTTAAAGAAAATTAGGCCATTAAAATAATGGTCACTCAAAAAAAATAAAAATCAAAAATAAAATACATTTTTGAAAAATTAAAAAATTCTGAATGTATTCCCTGAATTCTAGATTTAATCTCAGAATAATGGACAGTTTTAGAATTCTGACTAATTCATTTTAGAAGTCTGACTTTGATCTCAGAAAATTCTGATTTTAATCTAAGAATTCAAAATTTAATCTTATAATTTTTAATTAATTTTAGAAGTCTGACTTTTTACCTAAGAATATACTGACTTTATTCCAAGAATTCTGAATTTAATCTCAGAATTTTTAATTCATTATAAAATTCAGATTTTTATATTAGAATATTCTATCTTTATTCCAAGAATTCTGGATTTGATCTTAGAATTCTAAATTTATTTTACAAGTCTGACTTTTCTCTCAGAATATGATGACTAACTTTATTCTATAAATTCTGAATTTAATCTCAGAATTCTGAATTCCTTTTAGAATTCTGACTTTTATATTGAAATATTCTGCCTTTGCCCTCAGAATTCTGTATTTAGTCTCAGAAGTCTGAATTCACTTTAGAAGTCTGACTTTTATCTCAGAATATGTTGAGCTTATTCTATGAATTCTGAATTTAATCTCAGAATTCTGAATTAATTTTAAAATTCTGACTTTTATATTAGAATATTCTGCCTTTGCTATCAGAATTCTGTATTTAGTCTCAGAATTCTAAATTCATTTTAGAAGTCTGACTTTTACCTCAAAATATGTTGACTTTATTCTATAAATTCTGAATTTGATTTCAGAATTCTGAGTTCCTTTTAGAATTCTGACTTTTATCTCAGAATATGTTGACATTAATTTAAGAATTCTGAATTTGATTACAGAATTCTGAATTCATTTTAAAATTCTGACTTTTATATTAGAATATTCTGCCTTTAGTCTCAGAATTCTGCATTTAGTCTCAGAATTCTAAATTCAATTTAGAAGTCTGATTTTTATCTCAGAATATGTTGACTTTTTTCTGAGAATGCTGAATTTAATTTCAGAATTCACAATTCTTTTAGAACTCTGTCTTTTATATTAGAATATTCTGCATTAATTCTAAGAATTCTGAATTTCATCTTAGATTTCTGAATTCATTTTAAAAGTCTGACTTTTATCTTAGAATATGTTGACCTTATTGTAAGAATTCTGAATTTAACCTCAGAATTCTGAATTCATTTTAAAATTCGGACTTTTATATTAGAATATTCTGCCTTTACTCTCAGGATTTTGCATTTAGTCTCAGGAATAAATTTTAGAAGTCTGATTTTTATCTCATAATAATTCTCATGACTGTTTGTATTATTCCCTCTTAACTGAAGTGATACCCCTGGGATTTAGCGGTAAAGTAATTTGACTTTTTATTCTGACATTAAAAGTCAGATTTTGTTGTTGTTTGTTGGCCCTTATACTCTTGAATCGTTAAAATTAGAGCATAATCAAGGACAAACATAATATCATCAGACTACAGGCCAACAACTACAAATAAAATGTTTTATCCTAGTAAAACTAAGTCAATTAACTTTTTTAAATAAAAGGCTGTGGAATTAGAAACAACCCTCATAGCTTTAAATCTCTTGCCATATAAACACCCACAGTTAACAAAATAAAACATTGATTTGAGACTCAGCCACAGTAGCACATCGTCTCTTAAGTCTCTGAAGACCTCTGAATCACAGCTTCGCTCTCAGGTTGGTTCTTAAGAGCCAAAAGAAGCTGTTGACTATGATTGCAAGGCTGCTGAAGCCCAGAGTCCAGCAATGCTTTTAGAATTGGTACAGTTTGTGGGTGGCTCTCTTTGGCCCATCATTTTCCTCATCATCATGTTTAATCACTTTCAGTTATAATAAAACACTAAAGTTTGGCTGTAAAGGAGTGTAAAAACCTTTAAAACAAGGGATGCATTATGTAAGCTCTGAGCTCTATTTGATGCAAACTATGAAAAGTTTGATGCTAGTGAGTCTAAATATGTTTTTAGAACATATCTCTATTGTTGCTCCTGCACCCACCATTCCTACTCAGATGATATCCATTTTGGCCTGGAGATCAAACTAGCTTTGCAGACATTTACACCATTGATGTGAGGGTGGCTTGCATATAATCACTGCAAATTCCAGTCAAACAAATTAAAGATGAATGCAGGGAGAGTCGTTGGCGTGTGGATTAGCATTTTGACCTATGATGCATACACTGATTGATTTGTTTTGTTGCGTCTGGATTCTTCTGGAGCAGTTTTTATATTTGTCATAACTATTGAGTAAAACATTTCACCAAGTATGGGTGCAGACAGACAGATGGGAAAAGGGAAAAGCTTTTGAGAATTTAAATCGGGACAGTGAAGCCCAGAAAGCAGATGAAAGAGAATAAAGACAGGAACACACCAAGCAAGAAATAGACATATTGCATTGTAGACTCAAAGATTTCATTGCCTTTTTATTCTCATTTACTCTGCAATGCAAAGAAGAGAGGTAATGGTGACAGTTATAAGAAAACAATTTTGCCTCAGACTAAGGCGTTCTGTTGGGACAATAAAGAGCTTCATAGAATAACTCATAACATAATAAATCTTAACTTTGTCTTTCAAAGCCTTATTTGCAGGGTTTTTTTAAAATGTAAATCTGGGTTTTAAAGAAAGCAAGTAAAGAGCAGCTGAAATTGAAGGCATGGCATATTTATTTTACGGTCAGCAGAACACTTTTCTGGGAATTTTAAAGTATCCTAGTAGAGAAGATTTGGAAAAGGAAACTGGGCAACATTTTTTCTATAATAGAGGGGTCACACATGTCAGAGTAATTCATTCAAAGGTGATGGAAAGGCTGATCTCACCATCTAACCTCTGATTCAGAAGGAGCAGGGCAGCTTTGTTCTTGGACATGGATGGGTAAACCAGGGCCTGCATCCTCAGACTACAAGTAGCTCCTCAGTGATGTGACGTTACGGAAAATCGTAGAATCCCTGAAACTAAATACTTTCTTTAACAGTCATACAATGATTAATATAGAGATTAACTCTTTTCTCCCCACTGAGGAAACATTTAATATTGGATTCTTAATGAAAAACATAAAACAAAAAAACAGAAAAGGTAGGAAACAAATACAATAAGAAAATAAACATCTAGACAAGAAAAAGTACAATGACATAATTTCAATTGGGATAAAATGCATGGCTTAGTCAGTATCTGGTCCAAATACTATAATGTATGTCTTATCTGAATTCAAAAGCAAAAAAATAGATATGCTAACTTTAAAATACAAGCCTTTAATCTGTCTAAGTGGTTAGATTTGCTAGGAAATATGGACAAAGAGAATCAGCCCTAACACTGAACCTTGTGGAACTCCAAAGGTAACCATGAAGCTTGAGATTCATCATAACTATGAACAAGCTTAAATCTGCCAGTCAGATTAATTAACTAGAAAAGCACTCAGAAAGCACAGACCTCTGCCAAATAGTTCATTTCCCCAAACGTATTGTCACTTCAACCTTAAATAATTATCTGTATTCACAGAATCTTTCATAACATTCCTGCATCCAGATTATGATATGGATTATCACCTAAATGGAATGGAATGTGCATTGGATTGAGGTGCACCTTTGCTAAAAAAATCATAAAAATATAATTTTGGGGTTATCCTGTACACAGAAAGACAAACAAACTCTCATAAAAACATATTCTCCTTGGTGAAGGTAACAAGCTTGCACACAAGACTCAGCTTCTGCAGTATAGGCTCAATTAAGACAGACTAAAATATGCTAGAACAGAATGAAGATTATAAACATGTTCTTCTGTCAGATAAAAAAAAAGGATTAACTAATGTAAAAAAAAAAAACTAATAAGATAAACTACACCTCTTTGAACGTTTTGTTTAAATGGCAGAAAAAGGGGGAGAGTTGTAAAAGTTGTATCAATAAAATGGATCAGGAATAATAATAATAAATAATTTTAAAACAGACATTGCAGAGGGAAACTAATAATTCAGATCTTGATTCATCTGTGACATTAATCCTACCTGTTTAATAACCAAGCCTAATGAAATGTAAAATATTTCATAACAGGTGTGACTCAGGTGAATCCTGAGCATTATAATGTGTGAAAAATGATAAAGATCGGGTCACTGAATGTATTCATGAGCTTTATTTTATTCTATTTTTTGACAGAAACCTTCATTGCGCAGCTCACAGCCGGCTTTTTGACGCCGCTGACGTAGAGGTGGTGGGAAACCAGCTATATGTGGGAGGCATTAGGATGCCAGGTGTTAACACATGGACTGAGAGCCGTCCACATGGACACATGATTACATCAGTGTTTGAAAGACACTTCTAAACCAAAAGGTTTTATTTCAGTTCTTAGCACAAAACCCCCTTAAATCTCAAAACAAAGCAACATATGAGCATGTTAGATGTTTTAGTACAATAGGAACTGGTTAGCTATGAAATATATTAGGCAATAAAGGGAAAGCAGTTTGTTCACTGCAAAAATTTTAATCTAAGTAAGTCATTCTTT